GTTTGGGCCAAATTTGACAGCCTTAGGTGTTGTATTGCTGTTGCTAGAAAGGCTAGAATTTCAGGGCCGGAAGAACATGGTCTTTCAATTGGAAGGAAAACTAGCTCGAGCAAAAATTGTGGAGTTTTTGACAAACTATGAAATCAAAAATGGAAGAGTAACTAGTATAGTGAAAGGAATACAAGTGAGTTTTGATGACAAGGAACTAGGAGAGATGTTAGGAGTACTTGCTGAAGGGTACAATAATTACAAGAAGTTGAAATGACCAAGCCTAGAAAACCCACCTACCTCACTTGTCATCACCAAGAAATTTGCTAATAGGGACTTAGAGCTACAACCTGAGGCTATTTATAAGAGTGAAATGAAGCCTGCCCAAAAGGTGTTCTTTGAATTTGTCAACAAGATTGTGTTGCCCAGGTAGGAGAGGAGGCACATTGCAACTTTCATGGACATGATCCTTATAAAGTACCTGGATAGTAGAAGGCAGATCAATTGGCCAGGGTTTACCATCCAACTCCTTGATAGGTTACATTTTGGCACCAAAACTCATGTCATACCCTATGGGTTCATACTCACTGTTGTGCTTTCTCACTTCAAGGTTCCCCTCAATAAATAAGATGTTAGCACAAGTAAATATCAGTTTGGGGCCAATACTTAGATTTCCTATGACTATGAAGTCCTTACTACTCCCAAAGAAGCTGGTTTATCCAATATGGTGCCTGTGAACAGCAAAGTGGGTGCCTTGGAGCAAGAAAGTGGGGCTAAGGATGTTGCGATTGAAAGGCTGAAGAAGAGACTGCATGAAGTAGAAACTGAGAGGGATGCTCTCAAGACTGAGCTTGCTAAGGAGAAAGGGAAGAATGAAGGCATTCTTCAAGACATGTTAAAGTAGATTCAGGCCAGAAGCTAAGAACCTGGTCCTTCCAAGCCTTAACCCTTCCTAGTTTACTTTGAAAACCAGTTACCCTGAATAAGATTTTTTTTTTTTTTTTTTTTTTTTTGTTTTTTTGCTCATGGTGCAGTACTTTTATTTCCTTCTATGCTTTGTGGATGACTCTTATCAATGATAATCACTATTTTTTACTCCTATTATTTGTTGATATTTCTTAGATGGCTAATATCCTTAGATTGATAAGTGTTACTTGACTCCATGATTACATTTGAAGTAGCCTCAGTGGCCATGAGTAAGATCTGCTAAAATCTGGCTATATAACTTAATTATGCAACTTTTCGGTGATGCCAAAAGGAGGAAGGTAGGTTTTGCTTTTACTTTGGACTGTAATGTCTATAACCTAATGAACTTGGTCCTTGATGATTTTTGACTTTAAAATGGAAAATGTTCTAATATTATGTTGATATTGAGTTAAAATAGGCTTCATGCTTATAAAAAGCACATAGTTTGCCATCATCAAAAAAGGAGAATTTACTGGCCTGGGTAAGTTTGTTTTGTTGATTGACAAAGGAACTCATGCATGAACCAGGTCCATACACAGTGTGCACATGACACGGGCAGATTCAAGCATAAGGCATGCACGTGAAGGAGATAAGCACAAGTGGTTATATCTGATATCTCATGAACAAAAAGGTTGCATAATTGATAAGGAGCAGGATTCCTTAACCGAGAACTCTGTCCTAGATAAGGAAGGAGTTAGAAATTGAAGATAACTAGAAATCTTCCACCATGGAAGAGTAAAGGATTAGTACTCTAGTTCTTTCTTATTCTACTAATTTATATATATATATATATATAAGTTTGTTCTCTTTTACAGGTGACACACAAATGCTGAAGTTAAGCAAGAATTGAGAGCAAAATAGCAAAGCATTTTGCAAGCAATTCCTGTGTGTTTCAAGTGTGCGAATCTAAAACTACATGAATCAGATAGAAGAACAAGTTCTAATTGTGTGTCTTTTATTGTAGTTCAATTGTAGTAGGACTTTTGAGTTATACCTTTCAATTTTTTTTACAAGTATTTGTACTAGGTACTTTGAGTTGTAGCATTCAAGTTAGAGTTAACTTGAAGTTGTCGCAATAGACTAAGGCTGGTAGCCACAAAGGGTTAAACGGAATCCTCATGTTTACAAGAGTTTTGTAAATGATATTTTTGGCTTAGTGATTTTGTGGAATGTTGAAAAAAATCATACTTGGAAGTAGATCATGGTTTTTTCATCTTTTGAGTCAGGTATATTCCACGTAAAAATACTTGTGTACCTCTTTACTTTCTGTATTTATTATTCCGCAATTATAGTGTAAGGAACGCTTAGAAGAAGCAGATCCTTCTATAATTTGTGCACGCTAAAATTGAGTACTACACAATCATCCCTCTTGTGTGACATAAAGTATAAAACACCATACCTATAATTAACTATTCAATGCCTCTACGAAAAGTTTATCACATCAGAACGTTTCCAAGACTGAATCCACTTTGAATTTGATGTAAAATGGCTTTTTGCCACTAGATGCGTTCGCCGAAATGATCAAATGATCAAATGCTCAAATTTACATAAATTAACCAAGTTCTCTTTAGACTTCACTACTCAACAAGAAAAGCACTCATTTATAATGTTACATGGTAAATGTAAGCTAAAGCCCAAATGTCCTATGTGATTCTTTTTTCCCTTTTTGCCCTTTTAGACAATTAATTGTGGCATTTGAATCTCCAAAACTTTAGACCAAGTCTTTGCTTCTAAATCCAAAAATGGTAAAGGAGAAAGCAAGAGAGGGGATGAAAAAAGCAGGACAGAGAGCCTACTTTGTCTTTCACTTTGAACTTTGAAGAGAGTACCATCCTGATTTTCAGTTGCCTTTAATTTTTTATTTTTTTTTAATAATAATTTTCTCCTTCTCTTTTTCTTTAAAACTTTGATTGACATGCTTGAGAATCAGGGAATCTCTCCACTTGGTTTTACAACAAGTTTAAACGGACCAAAGACCAAAACAGTTCTCACACCAAACAATCTAATGAAAAGGACTAACACAAGGAGGCAATCCCTACCTTTTTCCCTTTTCTTTTTTAACCCTGCCAAGACACTTTTAAATGGTGGATTTGCTTTAGTTAGCACACATGCCATTTCTTAGTAATATACAACAACCACCGGACGTGGTGGAATGAATGAGATCATTTCATCCTTAATTAGAGGTGTTAATTTACTTCGAACGGGAATAGAGAAATTCCTAATAAGGAACAATTTTCTCTTTAATGGACACTATGCTATGCAAATCAGAGTTAATTATTAATTAGTCGAACCAGTGGACTAGATACCATATGATTATTACAAAAAAGAAAAGAAAAAAAGAAGAAGTAAAGCTACTTTTTTTGTCAAAAGCCAAAACAACGTAGTTGACATGATTCGTGATAGAGATGCATAAACAATAAAGCTAGCTAACCATCATCGTGAAGTAAATGAGATTCCTTTATTCTTAACTAAAAATTTCAGGTTTGAGCCATGAATAGGGATCAATCCTGGTAAATAATGGCAGAGGCAGGATTTCCGCTAAGGGAATTCAAAATAGAAAAAGGTTAAAAAACTAAAAGAAATTTCGACGAAGTGGATTGGGGTGAACCCCTTTCCGCTCCCCTCCTGCCCGATAAGAAACGTTTTCCGCCCTTAATTACCTCTATTCCGATGAGAATTTGAATTTGTCAGACTAGTGAATTTCAGAAGATTAATAAAAAAAAAAGATTAAAGCTACTTTTTTTTGTTTTTTTGTTACAAAGGCAAAGCAGCTGTAATTGACAAGACCGGTGACAGAGACTCGAACAATATACTCCCTTGCTTTTAATTTATATGAACCTATTTTCTTTTTAGTTCGTGTCAAAAAGAATAATCTATTTTTTTTATTTGGAAATAATTTACCTTTATGTAATGATTTATAGCCACACAAAATATGTGTGCCTCATTTTACACCACAAGTTCAAAAGTCTCTCTTTTCTTAAACTACGTACCTAGTTAAACAAGTTCACATAAATTGAAACGGAGGGATTATATTATACAAATGCATGGCTGCTGAGACATGCATTTACACATTCTCCATTAACTTAATTCTTTGTTCTTCTATCTTCCTCCACACCATGCAAAACTTTATCTCTCTATCTTCCCCACCAAACAAATAGATACAAACACTAATTAATATTCTCAATTGGATGTAAATATGGGATTCTCTGCCCAATATAATGACCAATCATCTTTTGTTTCTTGTGTAAGACAAAATTAACTATCTTTTCATTCCATCTCCAAAGATTCTAAAGAATTTTTGCAGCATTTAAAAATAATAATAATCTAACAAATTAAAGTGGGGTTTCTGAAATTTCATCAATATTTCACAGTATGTATAGACTTCCCATTTTAAATAACTACATACAAGAAAGGAAAGTTTCCACATTCCTGGCTAGAGGTCCTTCTGTTCATGGCTTGCCAAGTTCTCCCTTTGAAACTTGACCATGTGGCTGACGAGAATTTCCCGCTCTTCTGTTATAGAGACAAAGATAAATAATTTTTAGGCTAGTGTATTTTGTTCTAAATAATTTCATAAAGTTATAGGATATATTATGATTCTTATCTATACACAAATGATGTGCTCAAGATACAATTAAGTAATAAAAATATACATTCCTAATAACTTAAGATTCAGGTGAGAAGACGAATAATTCAATATGGTGGTATTGAAACGGCAAATAGAAGTTTCTGGTTATAATCTCCGGCTGCCGCCCATCATTAAAAAAAAAAAAGAAGAAGTAATTTTCAAGTGCTTTGGCCAATGAGAACGAACTAGTCCCGCATTTGAAGGTACATTTAAAAATGTAATTAAGTAAATAAAAGTATATTATTTATACATCAAGCTTTTAAATGAAATGAACATGCAATAAAGCACGGTGGACAAGAAATTGAACTCTTTGATTTGAAAAAAAAAAAAAGAAGGGTTGTGGTAGAGGTCTTTGCACAGGGGCAGATTTAGGGGCTGAAGGAGTTCACCCGAAACCCTTCACCGAAAAATTGCACTATATATATATGGCAAAATCTATTTTTATCTTTATATATTATGTTTTGAATTTTCTTTACATAGCCCAGAAGTGTAGCTTAGTGGTCAAGGGGGTTCAAAACATTTAAGGTCATAGGTTCAGTTCGCACTAGCTACAATCATTTTTAACTTTTTTTCTTTTTGAACCACTCGGGGAGATCCTGCCTCCGCCACTGTCTTTCATTTACGGATAATGTTTTATGATGATATGATTGGATGAAAGTAATGATAAAGAAGAAAAGGAAACAAAATGAGAAAAGAAAGATGGCATTAAAAGGTTAAAGACCTTTGTAAATGCAGAGAACAAAATGAAAGGTTAATTAGCAGCTTTAATAAGCCTCTTTTAGAAGAGAATAAAGACGACAGATACAAATGCTTTAATTTTCTTTGTCTAATTTTATACATTAACTTAAAACTTAAAAGTTACTCTACTACGTAGATAAGAAAACTAAAGATTTGATATATAACAGAATCTGAAAGTACGGTTTGTTTTTTTCTTTTTCGGTAAAAAGCATGCAAGCCCCTACAAACTTTAGCTGAACTTTTTCTTTTCGTTAACATTTACATTTGATAACAATAATTAAATTGAAAGAAGACATAGAAGGAGGGAGGAGAAAAAGAGATACTTTGAAGTATTTCAAAATTCGAAGATAGGATAATCATAAGTAAATCTTTATGATAAGTATTAATTGAGAAATAATAAAATTATATAGTTTTTCGTTTTTTTAATTTATATGATACTATTTTCTTTTTTGTTCGTTCAAAAGAATGATATTTTATTATATTTAAAAATTACTTTTAAGTTTAGTTTTCTCATTTTACCCTTAATGACATGCTTTTACAATCATAAGTCTTGGAATATCTAAAACAACAAGTTTTAGATGTCTTTTCATTTTTCTTAAATTTTATGCTCAATTAAATAATATCACTGGATAAAATAAAATAAGATAATAACTAACATATTATAACAAGTTATATATATATATATATAGTGAGAGGAGAGAACATAAATATTGAAGAACATTTGGGAGGAAGAAATCAAAGTAGATACCTGTTATGGATAGGGTCAGGACCATTAGGAACTCTTCTTTTAATACTCTTGAAGTTGAGATCCAAATCCTTATTTTGCAACACTTTGTTGTTCTTCATATTTGTTCTTCCACTTTCTACAAGTCCAGCTAACATTAACCAAATAACAGCTACCACTATAAGTGAACCCCAGAAGCCCTTATACAACCTAATTCTACTACTACTTTCCATATATATATATATATATATATATATATATAATCTCTTTAATTTATGTCTCACTATTTTCTCTAGTTCACGTAAGAAGAAAAACAAGCAGAACTTGTGTTTTACAATGGAGTTTTTACCTCAGAAGAGAAGACATGAAAGTGAAAAATACTGAAGAAATTAGGCATGCATGGGTACTTAGGCAAAGAGAAAGCTGAAGTATTTGAGTTGTTGTTTCGCTTTGCATGAGTTAAGGGTGCTTGGTTTTTCTTTATAGGTTGGAGTGATTCTGCCACTTTAATTTCTCGAAGCTTTTTATATGCTTGTATGTACACAAAGTGTAATCTTTCTTTCTTTCTTTTCTCTGTTTTGCTTTGCTTTGTGTATTTTCATGCACTATACGACAATGACTAGCGGCAGCGTGCCTTACTACAACTCTTTGCGTACGTTAAATGATAATTACTGGATTCTGCCGCAAACTATTATGGACCTCAATTTATAAGTAATCAGCTTGTATGTATTTCGACTAAATTTACGGAATACTTGCGACCTTCTATCAAAATAGATATTAGATAACTCTATCTATTAAAGCTTGGACAAATAAATAAAAAATTACCAAATATTTTTGTCCTCAAAGAAATTTGAACCTAAAACCTCATGATTCTTAATCCAGTACCAAAATTTCTTGTATACTCCATTCACGCCATTTCATGTGGTAGTGGTACATGTTAAAAAGAATGACATATTTACTCATTTAATTTTAAATTTCTAATTTGTATCCTTAATGATAATATCTTTTATAGTCGCATAGATCTCATGATATATTTTTAAGACATGTTACGAGTTTGAAAAAAATTTACTTTTTAACTTTTAAATCCAACAAACTTCACACATAATTTAAAACGGAGAGTATAACCCTCTTTCTCACAGGAGGGAAAGTGGGATTTATAATGAATTTATTTGGGGGGGAGAGGGGGNAAGTAGAAAAGGGAAAGGATGTTGGAATACAAGAATAATCTTTGTTTGACAGGCGCTCCTTGTGCACCTCATGATGAGTTCATAAGTGCAATGCAACTTTCCCTACCACCAGTCTATTACAAAGAATCTTACTCCTCCAGTAGATAATGTCAAATTCGTTTTTTGTTGTTTTTTCTCTTTTCCTAGAATTGATGCCATCAAGTGTCCTAGAGTTAAAATTCTCAAAATAAGTTTAACTTACAAATAGCATATAATTCTTTATATCAAGCTTTATATTATAATTTGAATAAAGTAATAGTCTACTATAATCTACAGGCGGAAAGTCTCTTTGGCGGTTTGAAGATACCAGCTTCGCGAGACCGCAATCCAACTCAAGACTAAGCTTTACCGTCCTACTACTTTATCGATCAACTAACTCAACTCTTGAAGACAAAGGAGTTCGGCACCGACCCGAATAGATGATGTCCTATTTGTATTGGGAAAAAACTGAGTCTGAATATTAAAGATGACGTGTCATGACACGTGGAATAGTCAAAAGGTCAAAACGCAATAAATAGCCAAGAGGCACGGGCGACAACAGATATGGGGAAAAGAAAGCAACATAGGTGTGGACCGTTACTAAAATAGGTACGAGTCTCGTACCTATTCGAGTCATTTAAAGGTCAAAGATCAGAAAAAGTTGAAGATACGAATCTGATGACGTAAAAGAGTCTAAATACAGCATTAAATATCAAATACGTTAGAGAATCTGAATTAAATAGAAATGATTGTGTAACGTTTCTTTTAAATGTCATTTATTGCTCATAATTGCCTCATTAAGACAAAGACATTACATCTTTTCCTAGAACCAATTATAAAAGGAGAATGACTCAACATCTGTAAGGACACGAAATATTATTGAGATTACACTGAAATACAAAACTACTTATTACTTTATTATTCTCAGAAATCTTCTATTATTTTCGTCTCCAGATTATTAGTAACCCGAATTTCTCTTTATTTCTAGTTTTGATCAAAGACTCAGATTTTTGGTTAAACACATTGGTTCCGTTACCGGGAATCTGATAATCTTCTCTTTTAAGCTACATTCCAGTCGTTGTTATCATCATGTCAAACAACAATAACAGTGAAAACACCTTGGGAAATCATGAAAATCAAATCCATCAAAATCAAGGAGATTTACAGAACATTGACGTGGTTCCCTCCCCTCAAAATTCACCACGTCAATCTCGTGAAGGCACTCCTACTCCTGAATCTCGTGCTGATCAACAAGAGCAATCTGAACATTTTGAAGGGGTAGATGAAGCTTTACAAAAAGTAATTGATGCACGGGTTAGCAAAGCTCTTCAGGCTCTAGTTAGTTGATTACCTGTTGCACCACCCACACCTACGCCTAATAATAATAATACATTGGAGAATCCTCGTTCTGGTCTTGTTAATTCTGGAAATGGAGGAACCCCCAACGAACCACAGGAAGGAGAACCAGGTAATTCAAATAATTCTCATTTGCAAAATTTAGTACTAACTTTGCAGAAACAGCTTAAGGAACAGAATGAGCGCATCGAGCAAATCCCTGGAGTTCCCCCTGTAATCAAAGGAGTGGATGTGGATAAATACTCACAACAACCTTGGAAACCAAGTGCTGCTCCCCTTCCAATCCCTAAAAAGTTCAAAATGTCTGACGTCTCGAAATATGATGGCACAATAGACTCACGTGATCATAACTGCATTTACAACAGGCGTGAAAGGCAATGACTTGACCAAACAAGAAATTGAATCAGTACTGGTCAAGAAATTTGGAGAAACACTCACCAAGGGTGCATTAACCTGGTATTCTCTTTTACATGAAAATTCTATTAATTCTTTTGCTGAGCTTGCAGATTCTTTTATTAAAGCACACTCGGAAGCTCAAAATGTTGAGAAAAGAATGGAGGATATTTTAAAAATCAAGCAAGGGGACTCCAAGTTGCTCAGAGATTTTGTTGATAAATTCCAACGTGAAAGAATGACTTTACCTCGTGTACCTGATAACTGGGCTGCAATAGCTTTTGCAAGCAACTTAAATGACAAAAGCTTAGAAGCCACGAGAAGACTTAAAGAAAGCCTTCGAGAGTTCCTTGCAACCACGTGGAATAACGTTTATAACAGGTATAGTACGAAGTTGCGAATTGAGGAAGATACCGTACCTCAGTTTCATCATGAAGAAAAGAGCAAATCCAGGAGATCAGAAACAAAAAAAAGATCAGGTAAAAACAGGTACGATCCATACATGGGACCTGCAGGGAAAGACTCACGGTCAAAGCAGGATAGTCAATGATATGATCAAAAATCGAGGAACAGGGAATCTGGTTCTTTATCAAGGTTCAGAAATGACCGAAACAGACAAGAGTCACGAGATGATGACAGAAGTTTAAAGGCAAGGTTTGGTGGATATAACTTTAATGTCACTACCTCCGAGCTCGTAGCTGTTTTGAGGAGCATGAGAGATAAGGTACGATGGACAAAAGAGATGCGGTCAAATCCAAATAGACGCAATCCAGACCATTGGTGCGAATTCCACAATGATCACGGGTACAAAACTTCAGAATGTAGATTCTTACAAAGTGAAGTGGATCATCTAATGAAACAGGGGTATATCACTGCTTTATTTAATGAGAAAGGTAAGTAAGCCTATATGAAAAATAGGCAGGAGCCACCAAAGCCCCTTTCACCCAAGAGAACCGTGAATGTTATAAGTGGGGGAGAAGATATTCACGGTGTAACATATACGGCTACCAACAAGGTTTCTAAAGTAACGATAACACACGGTAAACGGGTACGACAGGTTTTAGAAAACGAAAGTATTTCTTTCGATGTTGCAGATACCGAAGGGGTAATGACCCCACATAACGACACACTGGTAATATCTTTACTTGTATATGATACTAATGTAAAGCGAGTTTTGATTGATCCAGGAAGTTCCGTGAATATTGTACTATTAAGGGTATTACGTGAAATGCAAGCTGAAGACAAAATGATACCTAAGGCGCATACCATATCCGCGTTCGAGAATTCAAGTGTGGTAACAAAAAGAGAGGTAATTCTAACAACTTTTGCTGCAGGTGTTGTTAAAGAAACTAAATTTTAGATAGTAGATATGGAAATGGCTTACAATATGATCATGGGGAGACCTTGGATCCATAACATGGATGTTGTACCATCAACTCTACATCAAGTTATTAAATTCCTATCACCGTGGAGAATCTGCCAAATTCGTGGGGATCAGCAGACAGTCAGGAGTATCAATGCTGTAACAGATACGAGCACCGTAAATAAAAAAAATAGCAATTACAGGAAACAGTTGAAGGTATTAAGGATCAAACCTCAACCGAACAAGAAAAGACAGATTTAGACTCGAGACCTGATATAATTCAAGAACCTGAAGAGAATGAAAATATCAAAACAACAATTGAAGAGCTCGAGGCTATGATGTTATTTGGGCAATGGCCTGAACAGAAGGTTTATGTTGGAGCCAATTTAAGCTCAGACATGCGAGGTATGTTGATTGAATTTTTAAAAGCTAACGTGGATTGTTTTGCTTGGTCCCATGCTGATATGACAAGGATACCACCGGATGTGATGACTCACAAACTAAATGAAGACCCATCTTTCACACCAGTAAAGCAAAAGAAAAGAAAGCAAGGAGCTTTCAAAAATCAGGTGATTCATGATGAGGTCCAAAAGCTATTAAAAATTGGGTCAATACGCGAGGTAAAGTGTCCTAATTGGTTAGCAAACACAATGGTTGTACCTAAGAAAAACACTAAGTGGCGGGTTTGCGTGGATTATACAGAACTTAACAAAGCCTGCCCAAAAGATTCTTTCCCTTTACCGCATATAGATCAGTTAATTGATGCAACTGCAGGACATGAACTTTTGAGTTTTTTAGATGCATATTCGGGGTACAACCAAATTAAAATGGACCCCAGTGATAAAGAAAAAACTTCTTTCATCACAGACAGGGGGACTTACTGTTATAAAGTAATGCCCTTTGGTCTCAAAAATGCTGGAGCAACCTATCAAAGGTTGGTCACCAAAATGTTCCAAGAACATTTAGGAAAAACCATGGAGGTATATATAGACGATATGCTCGTCAAAACCCAACATTCTCATGATCATATTTCTCATTTATCTGTTACATTTGAAATTTTACGAAAATTTAATATGAAACTCAATCCAGAAAAATGTGCATTTGGGGTTGCCTCAGGCAAATTTTTGGGGTTCCTCGTTTCTAACCATGGTATTAAGGTAAATCCTTCTCAGATCAAAGCAATAGAGGAGATCCCTGATATCCTTACAAATAAAAAAGAAGTCCAAAGGCTAACGGGAAGAATTGCGGCCTTGGGGAGATTTATTCCCAAATCTTCAGAAAAATGCTTTAAATTTTTCTCCGCACTCAAAAAGCAAGATCATTTT